AAGTTTAAATATCTTCAGCTTTCCATGGGAGCTTATGGAAATATGCCTGCAGAACCTGAAAAATCATATGGACCTGTATTTTATGAAATGGTTGCGAACGCTTGCAATACAAACAATGATATGATTGGATTTAATGAAGATGTTATGAGGTCATTGGTGGATGATGGTAGTGTGGAACATAAATGGGATAGCTATGACAACACACATTTCTTATGTGGTTTTCCAACAGAAGTGGACTTTTGCTTCCAGCAAGGTCAAACATCTACTGCTCCAATAACATACAAATTGTCTGTTAAAGGACCTATTGAACTAGCAACTGAAAATGTACCAAAGCCACTTATTGGATTTATGAGGGATTGTTGCTTTGCCATTCAGGTGCGTGCTAATGGAATCCCCATAATAAGATTAGATGACTATAACTTAGCGCGGACGACAGTGAGGAATAAAGGATGAACGTTTATTTTTAAAGCTTATAAATGAGTTCTTCATCAAGCTCTCGTGAACCTTCACCATCTATGAAACAAACTTTACCAAACGATTATGGAGCACCTATTGAATATTTCTTACGAGCTGCACAATGGCAAAGAGCAGTCTCACCAAGGTTAGGTGTTCCACCAGCTCCTGTCAAAAATAGCATTTGGTCAAGTCCTTATATAAGATATGGTCTCCCACTAGGTTTGCTAGCTACAGCAGAGCAGTTATGATGTTGAAAAGAAATAAAGCAAATGTTGTAAATAATACTGAAGTAGCTGAAGTTAAACAAACTCCAACACCTTCGCCAAAACCAACGTCAAAACCAACGCCTTCACAAGCAAAACCTTCAATGACTCCTGAACCTATGGAAGTACAAACTCCTGTTCAAAAGTCAACTCCTAAACCGACTCCAACATTTAAACCAGAACCTACACCAAATAAATCGTAAAACTCCTGCGTTTCCTTACTGAAAAAATAACGTTATTTTTATTTAATATTAAAATTTTTATTTGATTGAAATGACAAATAAAGTCACTGAAGCAATGAAACAAAAGTTTTTGGTAGAATACATTAAATCAGGAACTATTCCAGAAGGTTTTTACATTCATACTATGAAGGATGGTAGAGTTCAGTTTAGAAAGATAAAGCAACCATTAGATAAAGAAGGTATATTAAGGAAGATTAAACTTCATGAGGACAACATTGCTAAACTTAGGAAGAAGTTAGAAGAGTTGGAGAAAGCAGACGACAGTGAGGAATAAAATATTTCATTAGTTTTATTTTTACTGAAAATTTTTATTTGGATGTAATGACGAAAACTATTGAGATAACAAACTACAACGGTCATGAGTTCAAGAATTTGTTCTTTGTTCCTCGTGAAAATACATTCTATCAGATACGAGGGAGAAAGGGTAAAGTTAGTTTGAGCGTTTATGAAGGAATGAAGAATGGAAAGTTTATACAAGCATACGATACAAACGGTAAGCGTGTTTCATTAGCTTTGTCAAAACTTACTAACATTTATTTTGACAGTGATTTTGACTCTGACGATTGGAGCGACAGCAGCGATACTGAAGAATATGAACTATTGTGTGAAGCACAGCAATGGGAAGAGTTGCAATACTTTTGTAAGTGAGAACGTTTATTTTTTACAGTAGTGAGGTGAAGTGGTTGGCGGCTTTATAAATATTTAAGGTTAAGTTGGTGTTTGTGTTTGTGTTGTAAAATATACGTTAATGGTTTTGTAAAGTGTCAAATTCACAAGTATTGCGTACGGAGGAACGCAGTGCCTCCGTACACGAGACTTGTATACTAACTATAGATTGCTCAATGCTGTTAGTGATGACTCAATAGATCCCACTAAAATATATCCTACCTTGAAAGTATTATTACAAAGAACTCATTTTATTTAATTTTGATTTTAATTTTAGATTAAATTATTAAATTTTAATTCTTTATTTTTTAGGATTGTTAGCTTTGTAAGATTGCTTTCTCACAAGAGAAAATAAGTATAAGGTTTAAGCTGTATGTATTAAAGTTATAAATATTTGATTTTAAAAAAAATCAAGATTTTAAACTTTAAAGGTATTAATTATGATTATCTTTCTTTAGCTTTGCATGCTGTATGCTACTTTTGGAAACTGCTCTATTGTATTAGAATGTTTTTAAATTTTGCACTTAAAAATGCGTAATATTAAAAATTAAGGTATTAATTATGATTATCTTTCTTTAGCTTTGCATGCTGTATGCTACTTTTGGAAACTGCTCTATTGTATTAGAATGTTTTTAAATTTTGCACTTAAAAATGCGTAATATTAAAAATTAAGGTATTAATTATGATTATCTTTCTTTAGCTTTACATGCTGTATGCTACTTTTGTCTTTGAGACATTCCATGATTTAAGTTAAGAAGCTTTAAAAAAAATGCAAAAAAATGTAATAAAATAAAAAAATTTTAGTATCGATAATCTGAAATATGTTGTTTACTTAAGCCGCGAGCGAAGCAAGCGGCTTAGTTTCGTAATTTCATACAATCTTTTTTCGAATCTGTTCTTTTCTTAAGCCGCGAGCGAAGCGACCGGCTTAGTTTCGTAATTTCGTACAATTATTTTTCGAATCTGTTCTTTTCTTAAGCCGCGAGCGAAGCGAGTGGCTTAGTTTCGTAATTTCATACAATTATTTTTCGAATTTGTTCTTTTTGTCAACCGCGAGCGAAGCGAGTGGCTTTTTATTTTTTAAAATTTTTTTTTCTTTCTTACTTTTTTTTTCTCCCCCTTACTTACAAATTTGATAGTAACTTACCAAATCTCTCTATCATATAATAATAAATTAATCCATTTTTTGTTTCAAATCTGACACTTTACATTTCTGACATGTAAACTTGTCACTTTTCACTTCACCTCACTGGGCAAGTTTGTGCCCCCTCTTGATTTATAGGTGGTGACAGAAACGTAACTTTTGAACGGAAAACCTAATTCCGGCTGATAATGGTGACATATAATTATTGCATAAGGTGCTTTCTAAATATCATAAGAAAAGATATGTATTGGTTTCGAAAAAAATCTGAAAATTTCAAAAATCTTTGATATGAGAAATATATGCATAATATGTTGATATTTGAATATTCGTGATAGCGGATAATACATCAAAAAACAGAAAAGATACTTCTGAATCCAACGCTTCACGAAGTCAGATTACAGACAAATAAAAACCGTGAAGACATTTTGAATAGTTTACATTGTGATATTAAATGATTTCCGAGTTCGCTTTGAATAGATGTAAAGAACTCTCATACTTATTAGTAATGAAATATATACAAACATGGTTAATATTTATAAAAATTTTTTTTAATCCGATTTTGTAAAAATGAAAAGAAATCTGATATGTAGTTCCAAACTAGTGATGCCGATTTGGAAGTTAATTTCAATTTCGGAAGTAAATTATTTAAGTTTGGGAAGATTTTCAGGAAGATATGATGTAAAATAAAAATTATGTTTATTCAAACACAAGAGTAAATATAGCAGGATCTGAATAAGTATATAGCCGAATTGATGCGCTTTATTATTGAAATTGATCTCGGATGTAAAATTCTATAAAATAGTGAATAAAAAGGAATACATCTGTAACATATTTGGATAATTAATCAGAATAATACTAGTTCAATCGTAAAATAAAGATTTTTTTGTATCTGAAAGGCTAACAAGCAGGAATCATTTTACCATAGTTATGGTATTGCCGATCTATGTAATTTTATGCATTTTCCAATACGCAGAAGCGTAATGAACGAGACTTTGTTCCAATAATGATTTAACAAACGATTGTGTATTGAATAAGTTTGATATATAAATAGTCAAACATGTTGTATGTCATTCCATTGCGTTGATAGATAAAGTTTTGCATATGTTTAAGATGAAAGAACAATTTACGACCAAGAAAAATCCTATCGAGTATTCAATTTTTTATTTTCCTGGAAAATATGATTTGCTTGTTACATGATTTCTATTCAAATTTATATATAAAAGAAATTCAAACGTATTTTTTATTTGAGAAAAAACCTTATACAAATTTTTTTTGTTGAACGAAGTTTGCATATAATCATGTAAGGAACTAAATTATAAGATTTTGATTTTTTTTTATTTCCTTCCTTTTTTCCTTCCTCATCTCTCAATTTCTTCCGAATTCATTCAAAATTACTTCCCGAGATTTGTGAAAGTTACAAGTTGCATTTTCCCAGAATACCTGTGTTTGGTGCCTATAGATTAAATAGCTAAAAACAAAGGTTTTCGTCGATTAAGATCTGATGTTTTGATAGATAAAAAATTCCAAAAAAATTTGAAAATGAAAAAATCAAGAAAATAATCGTCAAGGAAAATATCATTTTTTAGATTTTGGAAAATCTTGGATTATCTTCCAAATCGGCATCACTATCCAAACTAAATGTTATGTACCAAATATCAAAAAGAGGAGAATTGTATTGGATTTCATATTAATAAAATTTCAAATTTGAATATTAATTGTATTTGATTAAAACAGTACTTTTTATAATCTGTAATAATAAGGAATACAATTTGATTATCACAAATTTCTTCATCCTTCATTCGATCAAAAACAAATTTATGCATGAATTTTAAAACTCTCAAATGCTCATAAATTTATTCAGCATTCTATTTACAATAGCCTAGTGTGTAATCTAACAGCATGTAACGAATAATTATATGTCATTTAAAAAAAAATTTCCAGCAAATCCAAATTTTTCAAAATATAGATAAAATTAGAGCATTTTTACACAGATTCAATTATTTATTGTTATTAATAATAATAAAATCCAATGAATATAAAAAATAAAATTATGGAAAAAAAGTGAGAAAATGAACTCTACATTTTAAATTAGAAACTCTCAATTTTTGATATCATTTTTATTCATCTTTGCTCATACTATCGCAGCATAATAGAATAGCCAAAACTTCCTTGTTCATCTCATTTTATATTCAAACTTTTTTGAAAACATGTAAAATTATTATTTTTGAAATGGGTAAAAAAAATGGAAGTGATAAACCATCCATTATGGTTTTGCAAGAAAAGGCTCCAATTGTTACACCACAGCAAAAAAATCAAGCACAAACGGCAAGCTTAATGCAAAATCAAGCACAACCGCAAAAAATTATGCAAGCTCCTGTTACATCGGCACCGAATGAATCTAAACCAGATTTTAATTCCATGAGCAAAGAAAAGACTTAAAATCTAAAGACTCCCAAAAAATTGATTCCTCACTTAAAACATCATTAAAATAAATATCTTTTAATTGAAATTATTATAATTGTCAATATTTTTTTAACTTTTAAATTATGATTGCATTAGGTTTAGCTTAAAGATGCTCTTATCACTTATTGGGATCCTCAAATAAATTAATCCTAAATTATCTGATAAGATTTCTTGAGATCCAGACAAAACCATATGGGTAAACACTGGATCACATATGTGATTCAAATGCTCATATTGAAGTCTGGAATCAACCTCACTCTTGAGCCATTACATTGAATTTGACACTCGAGTGTCAAAAAATGCTCATTTTAGATGGGGGCGATACCCAAAACTACCAGATTTGCCATTTTTTGAGGGAAAATAACCGTTTTTTAGCTGGCGGATTTTTTTAGCAACAAACGGGGGACATTATATGTATTTATAAAAATTTTTCCTGGGCCAAAAATATTACCTTTTTACCTTAGAAAAGAACAATATAAATTAGGAATGACAAAAATTGAGAAAATGTCAGAAATTTGTGAGAACTTTCAGACCATAATTTGACAAATTGACATTAGTTTCTGGAGTGAAATTGAGTGTGCGAATTGTTAGAGTGAACCCTTAAGAGATCACAAATATCATAATGACATAGTATTAAATTACTTGTTTAATACTAACTTTCAATATCTATTCATAAAGACTGTCAGAAACATTAAAAAAGTCGTCAATTTACATTCAAAAAAAGTTTATCTCCATTTTTAAAAGTTTAATTGTCTTGGAATATTTATTTTGGTTTATGGGAAGGTTGAATATGATTAACAAACATATTCAAAATATGTTTCACACTTTTTCTGAGAAGCTCCAAGCTGATAAAAAGTGTGTACACATATTTTAATAGATTATTAAATAATATTCTCTTTACAGAGGTAGGAATCATCCATATAGAACGTTTTAGCTTATCTTTAATACATACATTTCAATGTTCATGTTATCATCATCTGAATTTAAATTAGAACATGTATTATTGAAATATTTAATCGGATGGACAAACAACTATATAAATCAAGGATTTAGAATACCATAATATATTTCTGTTAATTAATTAACAAAAAATTTCGGATAAATTTTGAATTGAAACAAAAATAGGCTAAGGAATCCATTTAGAAGTTATTACTTAAGAATAATACTGCTTATTATCAAATCATAAGAATCAAATAATTTCTGATATGATAAGTATATATTTCCTTTTCTATTATTGCATATTGGAAACAAATACAGACCACAAATCATAGTTGTGACAAATCTGTTGGCTATTTTTAAATATTTTCCAAATGTGTTGGAAAATTTTCTGATTTCAATTTTTTTCATGACAAAGATGGTGAATTTAGTGTTTGATTGGAAACCGAATGGACAAAATTTAGAATTTCCAATAGACCTAGCAAATAACGCATATAAATTATCAACGAAAGTCGTAATAAGTCCAAATTATCTATTAAAGTTTAAGATAGAACCAATTAAGAATCAGAAAGAAAAGATAACGTTTACAATCACAGCCAGTGAAGGATACCAATCACAAAATGTACCTGAAGTATTAGATTTTTCAAAAAAAGATTTTTATTTTATTTGTTTCAACAAATTTACGCCAGAGAAATCAGTTAAAATTACAATAGACAATATTAAATCAAGTCTTACAAAACCAGATTCTGAAATTGAAAATGATCCTTCGTATTATCATGTTCAAAAGAGTTCAAATACTCCAAATGAGGTTCCCAATGCTCAAATTCCGAAAAATCCAGAAGTATTAAAGAATTCAGCTACTAATTACAAAAATCAATATCCATATCCAAATGCAACAAATAAACCACCAGAATCAAATACTTCTGTAAATTACACATCATATTATCCTAATTCTACAAATGAAACCGATAAATTTACAAAATCAAATCCAATTTCTGAAGAAAGTAAGCCAGAAGCAACTCAAAAAACAAAGGAAACAAATTCTTCATTCTATGGACAATCAAAACTTACAGATTCAACTCAAAGATCAAATTTTTCAGAATCAAATTCAAATTCAACCGAAAAAACAACAAAACCAAAGCCACCAGAGCAACCTAAATCATCAAGTACTTCAAAGACATCAAATACAAAAGAATTAACACCTACCTCATTTGGATCAAGTTGGGGAACAGGCCAAACTAAACCAAATCAGAGTAAAATGGTTCCAAATTCCACACCATCAACAACATATGAAGAAAATCCAGAAATACAAAGAAAATTACTTGCACAATATAATAAAAAACCAGACTTGAAAAACAACAAATATCCAGGGTTAGAAAATCAAGGTCAGACATGTTACATCAATGCATTCATACAGATCTTGTATCATTCATTACCATTTAGTTCAGGAATTGATGATTTGAAGTGCAGAGACAAAATAATTGTCAGTTTGAGATCATTATTCAAAGAAATGGATGAAACAAAAGTTGGCTATGTTTCAACAACAGATTTAACTAAGAAATTCGGATGGACAGATGAATTTGTTACACAACAACATGATGCAACAGAATTCCTTGGTATTTTATTCAACAAAATTAATCTTTGTCTTAAAAACACTGATGAAAAAGATTTCCTGAAAAATATTTTTGGTTTTCAAACTGAACAGACAACTAAAAAGACAAAAGAACAATCAATAGCCATAATAGATAATGAGAAACTAGATGTACCTCTTATGGCAACAATTGAAGAATCAATTGCACAAACAAGTAAACCAGATGTTTTTGAATCTGAAGAAGGAAAAGTTACTAAAGTTACTAAAATTAAAACATTTCCTAAAGTTTTGTTGATATAAATTGGAAGATTGGAATACAATCCAGTGAGTGATAAAACAGAAAAAATAAAAAGGAAAATAAAAATATCAGATTGTTTGAATATTGGTGCAAAATATTTCCTCTACGGAATTATTTCTCACTTAGGAAATTCTGCTGAAGATGGACATTTCATCGCAACTATTCGACCTTCATTAAACAGATGGTATGAATTCAATGATGATACTGTAACAATGGTTGGAAAGAAAGCAAACGAGAGTGAATCAGTTCAAGTGAATTCTTACCTTCTGGCGTACGCAAGAGAAGATGTTGTCAAAGAAAGATATTAAGTAGTATTTGGAATAAAAATTCTCTTTTTACATTAGATTTTTTTATAATTTGGCAACATATGTGTAATATTATTGAATGCTAAAGATTTGAATGAACGCTCGTCTCAAGAAATTTGGATCTTTGAAGGTTTACAACTAGTTTTCTGGAGAATTTATGATAATCTAGAATAAAACTTTATAGCACTTTTCAGATTTGGGGTACTATAAATCCCAAAAAAACTCATCAATATTGAACAACAGTGAAGAATCCAGAATGTTTAATGGATGAATAGGTTACAAGTTTATTAGAAATATGCATAAAATTAAAAAACAACATTGGAATTTCTATAAAAATTAGAATCTTCAAAGTACGACTTTTTTTAAGAATCAATTGAAACACATAAAATAGTTGTTTCATCAAGATTATTATACATGAAAATATTTGAACATACATGATGAAACAAATACTCATCGAAAGAACGCTCATATCTTTTTTTATTGTAATTCAATCTTGATTTTTAGTCGTCATTTTTGATTTGGGGCTAATCTCAGCAATTCAATTTGTTGGTTACTTTGAGCTTTCTATATGAATGAGGAATAGCCGATTTTGATTTTTTTTTCAAAATCTTTACATTGTCACTTTCCCGTAATAACGTGTAAAATTTTTTTTACACACCCCTAAAAAAATTAAAAAATGGCGCTTTATACAATAGATGAATTAAATAAAATGCAGAAATATATCGACAAACATCCTCCAGCAGTTAAATACGTCTATGAAGGTGCAACAGGTGGTGTTTTATCATCAAATTGCACTGGATTTATTCCACAACCAGACGGATCTATTATCAGACTGGATAAAAAGTATCCAGAAGGAACACCAGGCCCAGGTGCATACGATCCACAAAAGCCTTCTTTTCTACGCGAAACTCTTAAATATGTCAAACCAACAGCAGAGAAAAAAGACGACAAAGGAACACCAAGCTCAGCAGATTACACACATATTCCTAAAGAAACGAAAATTTACCATAAACTGAATCCAACAGATCCATATCCACTAGATCCAACACCATTACACGGTGATTTAACACATCCAGACTGGACACCCAAGAAATCCAATCAATTTCCAAAGAACAGATTTCCAAATCATCAATTCCGAACATCAAATGAATCTAATGTTTTCTTCAGTGACGTTCCACGCAAACTCTTTTCAGATCCACCACGTGTTCCTGCTCCCGACAAGTACGCCGTTATCACCGATGGCATTGGTGACATCCAAAAACTTGACAAAAGTTCAGTTCCATTTGTTAGTGGCTTTGAGCGATTCAAAGATCCACCATCTAAATCTCCATCTCCCGACACATACACATTACCCGACGAATTTGGGAATTCTCGTTCCATGACTATGGTTCAAGATAATCCAAAAATATCTAAACTTAGTGAAGTTCTTCGTTCTCTTGACAAGCGTCCAGATGCTCTTGAATACAGTACTCCTATCATCAACAAACCAAATACTAAACACGGTGACAGCTTTTTCCTCTCAAAAACAGAACGTATGTCAGAACCAACATTTCTTCCTCCTCCATCGACTAAATACGACATCGATCGACATCCTCATGCATCAAATATCTCTATCCGCAGTAAGGAACACCGTCATGGCGGCAACTGGTATGACACATCACTTGGTAGCAGTCCATCATCTACTAAGTACACAATTAGTCGAGATATTTCTAACAAAGGCGGCTACATCTCTACAATTGGTCATCGTCCATACACATATCAACCAGAACGTCCTTTAGCATTCCGCTCTCTTCATTCAAGTCTTGTCAAAGGTTCATTCAACTCACACTACCGATCTATGCTTGTTAAAGATCCACTATAAATCTTTGTTTTTTGTTTGTTAATTAAATTGATAAATTTATTTATGATACAAATTATACAAAATATTTTAAACTATTTTACGATCATTTTCTATTCAAAATTATGTCAAAATTATTCAATAAAAAACATTATTAGGGTATTGCTCTTTTTCAAAATATTTTCAGTTCTCATCATGTTGTTAATTTTGAGTTCCTTATATTCACCTCTATAAATATTAGTAATACAAAATACAGATATTGAACGATTTTTGCTAAAACATGAATTAAGAATGTATTATGATACTTTATTTTGTTTATAATCATTTGGCTTTAACAAATCCTCTGTCTACAACTTATTTCGGGTACTCTATGGATATATGTTTGAGGCACTCAACTATGCTATTGAATATATATCGCATAACGTTTCCAAATTTTTCATGTTCAAAAATTACTGACGAGATCTTATGCCAATCTAATGATAATTTTACAATGATTACGAAAGCAATAAAATCTTTTTGAGCCATTTTTATCATCGTCGTACCTCAAATTCTCACCAAAGAGTACAATAACATTTACAAATTCCCTCAAAACCAAATTTGAACACGTCAGATAATTTTTATTTCCCAATTTGGAAAGTTATATTTTAGTAGTAGGATAGGAAGGGTTGTGTGACTTTTTTTGTTACGTCTATATATAGATGAAGGTATATTTTCACATCTTCTATATATAAATGATATAAAAATTTTTTCTTACGTTTTTTAAGTCATGAATTCGTAAGAAAGCGCGACATTATTAAATAAATTAGTAATAAATATTATATACTAAACACATTTTAAAAAATTAACATTAATTTTAAAATAATTTATTTTTTTATCTTTTATAAAAGAAGCTATATATAGATGATGTCAGATATTCCGCGATTAATTAAACATTGTTTAAATCCTGAATGGGTTAAACTTCAATTTAAAAATGAAGATTGTGAATTATTAAATGAATATGAAAGCCAAAATAAGCTAATGAGGTATAAATATAATGATAGGGAATATTTAATTTCATGGAATCAATGGAGTCATAATCAAAGACCTCATAAACGAGAAGAAGAAATTGAAAATAATGAAATGGAAATCATTGATGACATTAAAGAGGATGGAATTCCTAAATTTTGTAGAAAAACCTTTAGAACTAAGTTAGGAGCATATAAACGTAGAGTATTAAATCCTGAATATCTTAAACATCAATTTAAAAAGGAAGACTGTGAATTATTAAACGCTAATGAATATGAAAATGCTAAATCAAAACTGAGATATAAATATATTGGAAGTGATGAAAGGTGTAAAGATAAAGATAAAGTTTATTCAGTTTCATATAATAACTGGCACACGTTAGGGATAAGAAAACATTTAGGAGATTATGGTAAAAGTTCCGAATTCTTCAAATCTAGTATGTACGAGAGAGTAAAAGAAATTAGAAATAATTATTTTCATGAATAAAAGATTCACTACCATAATGAAATAAAAAAATAAAAAAATAAACTTTAAAAATTCATGTCTTACATTTTTGAATAATTTATTTTTATTTTGTATGAAATGAGCGTCAAGACTAACGACGTTAAAAAATTGGGATTCACAAACGAGGAAATAAAGGATATATTAGATGAGATGTGTTATGAAGTTAGTAAATATTATTTAAGAAATTGTCAAAAATTTGCCGAGTTATTAAATGATTTAGATTATGATGGAAAAATGAATAAAGATGATGTTATAAATTTCTTATATCCCACATCTAAAGAAGAAAAACCTAAAGAACCTGATGTTTTCCCTGAATATTATGAAGAACGGATTAAAGATGATGAATACAATGAAATTGAAAGACTGGAAAAAATAAGAGATGAAATAGATGAAAAAATTAAGGAATTAAGAGAAGTTGAAAATGAAGTAGAGGGTTTAATGAATATCCCAGCTTCAGAATCAGCAGTTCAGAAATCTCATGAAGAAAGATATAAAAATTATGTCTCAGAATCAACACAAAATTTATTAGATGGCGAAATAGATGAAACACTTTCAGAAGAAGGTACTAAATTTATTCGTAAACATAAGTTACAATTTATTGATAATGAAAAATACCCTTGTATCTTACTTTCACCCCCTCTCGATTCCGAAAAATTCAAAAAAGCTCTTAAAAACGTGACATATGCAACTAATACGATTAAGAAAGAAGATCATGATATTTACACAAATTATTATTTAAATAAATGCACAGGTGTTGATAAAGTTTTTGATTTATTAGATAAAATATCAAAAGAAACCATTGGAACATATAAAATTTTATGTGATTGTGGTTTCATTATTGAAGATACCAATAATGTTTCATATGAAAGAACAGCACCGAAGGAAGACGAAGTGGAAAGGTCTATACCATTCGTTATTAAGAACATAAAAGATATGAAAACTTATAAACATTATATTTATTCATTTATTTCAGAAAAAATGGAAGCAACCCATAAAACATCTTCTCATCATTTTATAGCTATTCATACATTCCTTTTCAAAGTTGTGAAATTAAATAAGACAGGAATTAGATTTAATGTATCAGGGTACGCATTCTTGAGTAAATTAAAATGTATTCGTCACGTCGCAGATGATAAAAATTTATGTATTCTTAATTCATTTTATGGGCTTTAAAAAATAAACTTTATTTTTATTTATTTTTTAATTTTTTATTCTTACATAAATGAACAAAAACGAAACAGCTAAAATGAATGATAATCAAATTAGAGCAGAAGGTAGAAGGTTATTTAAACGCTTCTATAACATTCCTGATGGTGTTAATCCTAAAACTCGTAGAAGTTATTTAAATGAAGCAATAGATTCATATGAAGGGTTTGACATTTCATCAGAAAGTGAGAGATTAGCGAGAATGTTAAATGTTAATATTGATTTCTATTATTGTGATCCTCAACCAGAAGACGTGGACATAAATAAGGTAGACTTTCCATTAGTGGAATCAATAATGATAGATCCAGAATTTGAAACAGTAAATATTTTATTAACACAGAGTCCATGTGGAAAACTTCACGCTGACAGAATAACAGACGTTGAAGCACTCACCGGCTATAGAGTATGTCCATATTGTAAAGAAGAAGTTTATTCTATCTGTGATGATCCAGAAAGGAAAAACCAAAGAAGATTTTTAAAGCATTGTGAGAAATGTAAAGAAAATAATGGAAGATTAATTCAAGACGTTCAGTTGCAAAAGACACAGCAACCATATGCACCACATATTACGAAACAGAAGATATATCAGTGGTTATTAGCTCATAATTTGCAGGAATATTATCAACCGACAAGATATTATATTACTTTTGACTTCGAAACATTAGAGACTAAAGAAGAATTACAACTTTCTGAGTGTGCAACTTTGAACGCTTACTTAAAACCATTCATGGTATCATCAACGGTTAAATTAAATGATAAAACATATACGAGGAATTTTTGCTTAACTTCGAGTGATTCTTTTATTTCTGATTGGATTGAGTTTTTATTTTCAACCTGTTCATTAGTTGCTAAATCAAATATTGAACAATATGAAGAATTAATGAAGTCGCAAACGGACCAAACGGCGGGGACTTTGTCTCATACATTAAATGAAAAACAGAAGGAAGCATTTAAAGAACTTCTAGATGAGGAATTCAATAAAGTGAATATCATAGGTTTTAATTCGGGAAAGTTTGATTTAAATTTAATTCTTCGTGATTTAAACACTGCAAAATGGAAAATAAAATCAATGCTGGGTTCATCTTCACAATTTAAGCAAATCATTGTAAAGAAAACAAACGCTCCATATGAATTGAGATTTATTGACATCAGAAATTATATAGCGGGTGGGACATTAGACCAATTCACTCAAGATTTCGGAAACAATAAATCACGTGTTAAATCCTTTTTCCCTTATCAATTCATCACATGGGAAATTACGAAGAAGAATTATATAAAGAGGAACCATTCACGAAAGATTCATTTTATTCAGCATTAACTCAAGAAACTATATCAGATAGTGATTATCAAATATATCTCAATGATGCTAAAAACTTTAAGAATAGATTAGAATATTTTATTCATTATTGCAATAAAGATGTTGAAATTATGATTGACCCAATTGATAAAATTATTGAAGAAACATTTGTTTATAAAATTGATATGCTTCATAATCTTTCTTTATCATCGAATGCTTCAATGATTCGTTACGCTTTAGCATATAAAGACTTTAATCCTAATGAAAAATATCCTGAGGAAGAGATAGAATCAAGTTTTGAATTAACGAAAAAGTATTGGAAATATAAAATTGAATCATATAAGAAACAAGATGAAAAAGCAGAAAGGGATACTAAAAATAATGTTTCAATGGATGATTTTCAATACTATCACGATTTAATCCTTTCATCTAAATGCAAAATGTGTGGTAAAGCGTTTACATATGCAAATAAACCAACATTGGATAGAATCGATAATGAAAAACCACATACCAAAGAAAATTGTCAGTTAATGTGTTGTTATTGCAATGTCGTAAAATCAAATAAAGATGAAGATGTTCAACGTTTAAGAATCAATTTAAGAAATTACGCATTAAAAAATAATTTACCAATGACTTTAGATTCAGTTGAAGCTTATCACATTCTCCGTAATGGAATTACTGGTGGTTTATCAAATGTTCAACATAGAGTAAATCTTAAAGGAATCACGCACATTAATAAACTTTCATATAATCCAGAAACTAAAACTGTATCAAATGAGGACACCACCAACATTATGACTCATTTCGTTGGAGTTGACTTTAATTCATTATATCCTTCATCATTTTCATCTAATCCTCATGATTTCATTCAATATACTGACCATAAAATGTATATGCCGGGAAGATTGAATGGTGTTATCATTTGTGATACAGCAACAAAGAAAGCAAAAGCATTGGGAATAATTAAGAAGAAAAATACTTTATTCGTGGCTGAAGTAAAGGGTCACATTGATGAAAAATACATTAATGATTACATAAACTTTTTACCGATAATAAGAAACTTAGATATTATCACAGATGAAAAAACAATTGGCAGTTTTATGTATAATTACATGAAATCAAACAATCTACCAGTTGACCAGAAACAGAGAAATTAACTCAGTTAGCATCAACACACAACCAATATCAACCATTTTCTTCTTATTATCTTTGGTATCTAATCGACAGATTTCATTTTATCATTGATGACATTCAATCAATTTTAACATTTACGAAAAACACTTGTTTTAATGAATTTGCGAACAAATTTATGAAGAAAGACAAAAGGCTGAATTAGAAGGAAATAAAGGAAAAAGTTTATTTTGCAAGATTTCGCTTAATGGATCATATGGTTACGATGCAATGAATACACAAAATTACGCAAAGACTAAAATAATGAATGCACAGAAGGCACGCGTTGCATGTATGTCAAATAAGTTTAAAAACATAAGAGAAATAGGTGAAGATACATATCAAGTGATGCTTAAAGATAGATTTTATAGATGTGATACATGTTTACAAGAGGCATTCTTCACTTTAGATAATGCTAAATACTGGTATTTGGTTTTCATTTATGATTTTATGTATAAATGCATGGATGTTAATCGTTTTCATTTCATTGAAGGTGATACTGATTCATCTTATTGGGCAATCGCTGGCGACCCAAATCTTCCTAACACTCAAGCATTTCAAGCAATTGTTACCGATAAACAATTTTATGATAAAAACATTTTCAAATTCGCACCATTTGATTTCTTCTGTTTTGATGAGAAATTTAAACCTAAATTAAAGAATAAAGCTGAAGAAAAAGCACATGAGAAGAAGTTATTGGGTTTAGCAATTGAGAAACAAGGTGATAACATGGTTGCTTTATGTCCTAAATGTTATACATCATTCAACGGTTCAATTGATGGAAGTGATTTTAAAAAGATTGCACAAAAAATGAAAGGTGTTAGTTTACGACAAAATAAGCAATTAACACCTAAAAAATATTTGGATATAATAAATGATAAAGTGATATTTGATGGTCAGAATATTAATTTACAACTTAAAAACGGGTCAATGACTCGCTTAACAATCGGTAAGACTGCATTAACAGGAGCACACACTAAGGCTGTATGTTGTGAAAATGGATGTTGTATGCCATTTATTTAATACAATTTAAAATTTTATTCTTAATGAAATGCCACAGAAGAGACAAAAGGAACCAAATCGATTTATACCAAATGGTTTTAACTTTCAGATTCCAAATAATCAACCACAACGAATTTTTTAAATCCCATCACAGCATCAACAGCAACAACAACCGCCACCATTTGATACCGTTTTAGAAGAAGGAACCGTTAATGATGGGATTCAATATGTAAATAATGGTTTTGATACTATGATTCAAAGAGGTGGGCACCCTTAAAACATTGATTTTATTTTTATATAAATGGATAACGTAGATTTAAAAATTTTAATTGCTGATTTAGTATTTAATCAAAATTTTCTTGATTATTATGATTTAAAAGCATATCTCCAAAAATATGATAACAATATAACGGGTGATGATATGGAATATTATTATCCATATTATAAAAATGAAATTTTGAAATATCATGATAGAATAATTTCTAAAATTAAAGACAAAATTAAAAATAATGAATATTCAAAGGGAAAAACTAAATCACAACTTAAACAGTTGAAAGATTTCAAAAATAAAGTATTAACAGAAGAAGATATTGATGAATTATATAAATTATATAATCCTGAGCCGCAAAAGCCAAAGGAACAAAAACAAAAGGTGCAAAACGCCCAGGTCCTTCAGACCATAAATGAAGCACAAGCTTTAATTTATGATTCATTAGTTAAACCATATTCAGCCCGACTTTTAAATGAAGATCAACTTTTGGAATTCATCCTTCAACATAAACTCGAAGCGGGAAAGTATATCAAACCTTTATATACAGCATATTTAAAACAAATGAATAGAATACATCCAGAATTAATGAAGGAAGGAATGAATTCCAAAATCAAAGCAGATAAAATTAAACCACCTGCAACACCAAAACCTCCAACGACAGTACCGCCTCCTCCTTCAGTTAATCCTTCATCATTCACTTTATTATATCCATTTCAAACATTAAAGAAGCAAAAAGATTTTAAAAAGGATTTCAAGATATTAAATAAACCAATTGACCCAAAAATTCAACCATTAAAGGAAAAATTTAGTCGCCCTTCATTTGCTCCATATCCATATTCATACGAAATCGATCATCTGGAATATTCAAAAGGAAACGTTACTTATTTATTTGCCATTAACATTAACACTAGATATTTATATTGCATTCCGGTGAAAGGGAAAACAGAACAGGAAACAAGAAGAGCTATTCAATACTTACTAGATCATGAAAGAGTAGATAATATCAGGGGTGATGGTGATAAAGGATTTCAGGCAGCTATGGCTCATTATTTCCCACAAATTAATTTTTTCTTTTCATCCTCTCCATATACGTTTCATAATAAAATAGTTGATGCGGTAATGAGAACTCTTAGAGATGCGTTAGGGGTTAACGGTCAGATATACTGGGATGGAAATCATGACTCCATCATACAACAGTTAGTATATTATTACAATAATACATGGCATAGAACAATAAACATGAAACCAGTGGAAATGAAAAATGATATTTCAAAAGAATGGGAATATATTAGAAAGCAAATGGAAAGGTTGAATGATGTTAAACGTGAACAAATTAATTCGGGGCTCATGAATTTTAAACAAGGGGATAAAGTTTTGATTCATCTCGATTATGGAAAAACTGATAAATCAATGACAAAAAGAAGACGAAGATTTGACACAATAGCTGAATTTGTTAGATATATTAACGGCAATGCATTAGTTGAAGTTGACAATAAATTAATAGAAATTCCGATTTATTTTATTACTTCATTATATTTAAATAATATTTAATTTTTTTTATTTCGTAAGAAATGAGTGACAACAAAGCAGCCAAGAGTCCAGACAATGAATATAAAAAGAAACTAAACAGAATTAAATCAAAAATATGCTATTACAAAAAGAAGCCACAATGCGGTGGGGTTGATGCCCATAAAACTAATGGAACTGAAAACGATAAAGAGAAGAAGGAAATAATCGAAAAATTAGAAACTTACCGTTCAATCCTTAAACTGGGTGAAGCAAAAATAAAAGAATTTAATAGAATAAATAAATTGGTTGGAAGAGATGAATTTAATAAAAATGAATTTTTAAACTCAATCCAAATTTAATTTTTTCAGTGCTACCATGTTACCATGTGCTACCAGGTCATTTAACTTCTTTTAAAAATGAGACAACATGACATTTAGACAACAGTCCCGGAAATGATTTGTCATGACTTCATCGTAATGAGTGTAAATGACCCAAAAATAATGTTTACGTTAATGGTTTTTAGGTTATTCAATAATTAATTATTTTTGAAGAACTGAGGGTGCTACCATGTTACCATGTGCTACCAGGTTAATTAACTTCTCTGAAAAAATGAGACAACATGACATTTAGACAACAGTCCCGGAAATGATTTGTCATGACTTCATCGTAATGAGTGTAAATGACCCAAAAATAATGTTTACGTTAATGGTTTTTAGGTTATTCAATAATTAATTATTTTTGAAGAACTGAGGGTGCTACCATGTTACCATGTGCTACCAGGTTAATTAACTTCTCTGAAAAAATGAGACAACATGACATTTAGACAACAACACAGGAGGAAGGTATTTATGAATTATTTTTGAAGAACTGAGGGTGCTACCATGTTACCATGTGCTACCAGGTTAATTAACTTCTCTGAAAAAATGAGACAACATGACATTTAGACAACAGTCCCGGAAATGATTTGTCATGACTTCATCGTAATGAGTGTAAATGACCCAAAAATAATGTTTACGTTAATGGTTTTTAGGTTATTCAATAATTAATTATTTTTGAAGAACTGAGGGTGCTACCATGTTACCATGTGCTACAGGTTAATTAACTCTCTGAAAAAATGAGACAACATGACATTTAGACAACAGTCCCGGAAATGATTTGTCATGACTTCATCGTAATGAGTGTAAATGACCCAAAAATAATGTTTACGTTAATGGTTTTTATGTTATTCAATAATTAATTATTTTTGAAGAACTGAGGGTGCTACCATGTTACCATGTGCTACCAGGTTAATTAACTTCTCTGAAAAAATGAGACAACATGACATTTAGACAACAGTCCCGGAAATGATTTGTCATGACTTCATCGTAATGAGTGTAAATGACCCAAAAATAATGTTTACGTTAATGGTTTTTAGGTTATTCAATAATTAATTATTTTTGAAGAACTGAGGGTGCTACCATGTTACCATGTGCTACCAGGTTAATTAACTTCTCTGAAAAAATGAGACAACATGACATTTAGACAACAGTCCCGGAAATGATTTGTCATGACTTCATCGTAATGAGTGTAAATGACCCAAAAATAATGTTTACGTTAATGGTTTTTATGTTATTCAATAATTAATTATTTTTGAAGAACTGAGGGTGCTACCATGTTACCATGTGCTACCAGGTTAATTAACTTCTCTGAAAAAATGAGACAACATGACATTTAGACAACAGTCCCGGAAATGATTTGTCATGACTTCATCGTAATGAGTGTAAATGACCCAAAAATAATGTTTACGTTAATGGTTTTTAGGTTATTCAATAATTAATTATTTTTGAAGAACTGAGGGTGCTACCATGTTACCATGTGCTACCAGGTTAATTAACTTCTCTGAAAAAATGAGACAACATGACATTTAGACAACAACACAGGAGGAAGGTATTTATGAATTATTTTTGAAGAACTGAGGGTGCTACCATGTTACCATGTGCTACCAGGTTAATTAACTTCTCTGAAAAAATGAGACAACATGACATTTAGACAACAGTCCCGGAAATGATTTGTCATGACTTCATCGTAATGAGTGTAAATGACCCAAAAATAATGTTTACGTTAATGGTTTTTATGTTATTCAATAATTAATTATTTTTGAAGAACTGAGGGTGCTACCATGTTACCATGTGCTACCAGGTTAATTAACTTCTCTGAAAAAATGAGACAACATGACATTTAGACAACAGTCCCGGAAATGATTTGTCATGACTTCATCGTAATGAGTGTAAATGACCCAAAAATAATGTTTACGTTAATGGTTTTTAGGTTATTCAATAATTAATTATTTTTGAAGAACTGAGGGTGCTACCATGTTACCATGTGCTACCAGGTTAATTAACTTCTCTGAAAAAATGAGACAACATGACATTTAGACAACAACACAGGAGGAAGGTATTTATGAATTATTTTTGAAGAACTGAGGGTGCTACCATGTTACCATGTGCTACCAGGTTAATTAACTTCTCTGAAAAAATGAGACAACATGACATTTAGACAACAGTCCCGGAAATGATTTGTCATGACTTCATCGTAATGAGTGTAAATGACCCAAAAATAATGTTTACGTTAATGGTTTTTATGTTATTCAATAATTAATTATTTTTGAAGAACTGAGGGTGCTACCATGTTACCATGTGCTACCAGGTTAATTAACTTCTCTGAAAAAATGAGACAACATGACATTTAGACAACAACACAGGAGGAAGGTATTTATGAATTATTTTTGAAGAACTGAGGGTGCTACCATGTTACCATGTGCTACCAGGTTAATTAACTTCTCTGAAAAAATGAGACAACATGACATTTAGACAACAGTCCCGGAAATGATTTGTCATGACTTCATCGTAATGAGTGTAAATGACCCAAAATAATGTTTACGTTAATGGTTTTTATGTTATTCAATAATTAATTATTTTTGAAGAACTGAGGGTGCTACCATGTTACATGTGCTACCAGGTTAATTAACTTCTCTGAAAAAATGAGACAACATGACATTTAGACAACAGTCCCGGAAATGATTTGTCATGACTTCATCGTAATGAGTGTAAATGACCCAAAAATAATGTTTACGTTAATGGTTTTTATGTTATTCAATAATTAATTATTTTTGAAGAACTGAGGGTGCTACCATGTTACCATGTGCTACCAGGTTAATTAACTTCTCTGAAAAAATGAGACAACATGACATTTAGACAACAAC